GACATTGAACCAGTCTAAATGAGAAACAGAGCCGGGCAGTGGTGGCTCAGGCCTTTGACGCCAGCACTTGTGAGGGTCATTCACAATGACCCTAGCACATGGGAGGCTCACGCCTTTAATCACAGCACTCGGGAGGTGGAGACGAGACAGGATCCCAGGCCCATTCATTCTGAGGATTCATAGATACAGGATCCCCCACCATTCATCTGAAACTCCGTAGAGGTAAGAAGTCTCTCTGGTGGCTGGCTGCTCTGCTTCTCTGATCTTTCAGCTTTCACCCTCAATATCTGACTCTGGGTTTTTATTGTTAAGACTTATCAGGATTCCTTGCCACACGCCCTTTGGAGAAGATCATGAATGGATCCCAGATATTTGACAGTTGAAATTTTCTAATTATCTAAAATGTTAGACATGCCAGAGTCATGGGATACCTTCTGAGGAGAGGTGCTAACAGGGATTGGAACCAGTCCCAGAGAAAGAAGTGGGTTGCAGTCAACAAAGCTGAACAGAGTTGGAGTCCTGAAGAACATTTGACATCAGTGTGGAGAAGCAGAGTTTGGAGTTTGCCCAGCTGGTTTTCGGTCTTGCTTTGGTCCAGTATTTCCTCACTGTGCTCCCTTCCCTAAGTTTTAAAGTGGTAATGTACATCCTATGCCATTATGTGTTGGAAGTATATGATCTGCTTTTTGATTTTGATTTTTTTACAGGTGATTACAGTTAACACCCAGGTGCTGGTCCTCATGCACTAAGACTTCCTTGTTCCCCAACATCAGGCTCGGGTGCCATCATTGTCCTTCCTGCTCTGGGCCTTTCTTGCACACACGTAGATTCCAGACTCCTCAGACACGCTCAGATAGGAAAGTCTCAGTTGAACAAGGACCACAGAGATGACAAGATAACTGAACTCCCCAGGCACCCAGAGCCTGAGTCACACCTGCTGGAAAGGTGTTAGTTCCCTGTACATCCTGGCAGGACAAATGGGAAGGGATTTCCCTTCAGGGGACTTAGGCAGGGCCAGAGTCTGAACCCCATACGACTGTCCATGGGGAGTTCTAGGATGGGGTACAGGATGCCACATCCCGCAGGGGTCACAATGAAGAGGGATCGGGGAGCTAAAGAAATGGGCAGAGACAGAACCCAGGCTTTCATGATTTAGATGAATGGGAGAGAAACCAGTGTCTGTGGCTGGGGAGATGACTCAGTAGTTAAGAACATTTACTGTAATTTCAGAGCACCCAATTCAGTTGCCGGCACCCACACTGCATGGCTCACAACCACCGTAAACCCTACTCCTAGCCTCTTTGGGGACCTGCACCCTCATGGCACACATACACACTAAATCATTTTTTTTTCTAAAGCACACTGGAGTCTAGGAAGAGCCGGCATCCCTGCTGGTTGGCTCTAGCACTTCAATCTCACCACAGGTCTTAGCTTGGAATCCATCACCATGAACGCCAAGGCATTCCTGTGAGGTCCATGCTCTCCATTGTAAGGGTGTACCTCCCCCATGTCCAGGTCTGAAAATAATGATGTTAGGATTTTGATGAGGATTGCATTGAAACTGTACACTGCTCTTGTAAAATGGTCTTTTTTACTATGTTAATCCTGCCAAACAATAAGTGTGAGAGATCTTTCCATCTTCTGAGGCTGGGCACTGGGAGAGACCAAGAGAGACCTTCCATCTTCTGAGGCTGGGCACTGGGAGAGACCAAGAGAGACCACTGGTGCAGCCTCAGCTGGCTGGAGACAGGAGGATAGTTGAGATTCTAGCCCTGGGGACTAAGACAGCAGCAGGAATGGAGTGGAGCAGGCCTGAGACATCAGACATGAGACAAACCGTGTGCACTGAGGATGGCAGAGCTGGAGACCTGGAGAGGTTCAAGGGTTTGGAGGCCAGAAGATCCTGAGTGAGCCCCAGATGTCAGACTTTGATCTACAGGATTGAGATCTGCTCTGCTGGAATTTCATTTTGATTACGTGTCATTGTTTTTGTACAGGGAGGTTCTTCCCCTTTGGAGCAAGAAAATATTTAATTGTTTTAATTTTTCAGAAACCCACAGTGACTAGACTTTGTATGTTTTAAAAAGACTGTGAACCGCTGGGCGGTGGTGGCGCATGCCTTTAATCCCAGCACTCGGGAGGCAGAGCCAGGCGGATCTCTGTGAGTTCGAGGCCAGCCTGGGCTACAGAGTGAGTTCCAGGAAAAGGCGCAAAGCTACACAGAGAAACCCTGTCTCAAAAAAAACAAAAACAAAAACAAACAAAAAAAAAAGACTGTGAACTTTTAAGGGGTTTGAATGTTTTAGAGAATGTGAGACATCAAAGTCACACTTTATGTTTAAATTGTGATATTTACATGAAATCTAAGAATAAACAACAAAAAGGGAAGGTTGTAGTCTAATACTGATATATTGTGTGTCACAATGTCAGTGGGTCAATTGTGCTGGATATTTTCATCAACCTGACACAGGCTAAGGACATCTGGGAAGAGGAACCAAACTGTGGAATCTCCTCATCCGATTGGTCTGCAGGTATGTCTTAGGGCTTTTCCTTTAATAGTGACGGCTGTGGGAGGGTCTGTCCCACAGCGGGAGGTGCCACCCTTGGGTATGTGGTCCTGAGGTGTGTGAAAAGCAAAGCTGAGCCTGCCATGGAGAGCAAACCAGTGAGAAGCGTCTGGCATGGTCTCTGTCTCAGTCTCCTTCCTCTAGACTCCAGCACTGAGTTCCTGCCTTGGCTTTCTTCAGTCATGGACTGTGCCCTGGAAGTATGAGTCATATAAGGCCTTTTCTCTCCAACTTGCTTTTGGTCAGTGTTGTATCACAGCAGCTGAGAAACCTCCCAGGGAGACCCGATCATCTTCCGGCCTCTCCTTCTGCTCCTCCTCCTCTAGCTGGTCCTGCTTTGGCTCCAGCTCCCCTTTCTTCTGCTATTTCTCCACCTTCCCCTTGTTTGTGGCTTTCCTGCTTCTGCTCCTCGATGTCCTCCTCCTTGTCCTGCTCCAGCAACAGCTGTCAGGACTTCCCTACGAATGCTCGTTGGGACAACAGAGAGCAAGGGATTCTCAAGGTTCTGAGTAGCCAAGGGGACCTCAAAACCCTAGAGTCAGTGGCCTGTACCCTACAAAGTGAACCCTGGGACTTCCTTAACAAAGGGAGCCTGAAGGTACATTTTCCTCCAGTGAACACGTGTCCCTCTGAGTAGACTCCTGTCTTCACCCAACAAAGAAGTCTGGAAGGAGGAGGAAATCAGGCTCCTCCAAGCGTGTAGCACATTGGATGTGAACCACTTTACAGGACACTTGCTTCTAATTACACTTTGCTCAGTCACATCATGAAGCCCTTGAGCCATTACCCATGCTTAGAGCCAAAGATCTGTCCTAGATGCTGGCCCTGCCCCTTCCCCTAGTGGAGCCCAGCATAGGGGGCAACAACTTGTACATTTACACTTCCCTGATGCTCCAGAAAGAACTTCTCAGATGGGTCCAAACCTCCTGATCAGCTTCCTCACAGCCTATACAGTAGAGAAATGCCATTGGTTTTTCTAAAAGGTGGTGTGTGTGTGTGTGTGTGTGTGTGTGTGTGTGTGTGTGTGTGTGTGTGTGTCCATGTGGCTGTAGAGAAAGTGTGAATCCATGAGGCTTCAGATTCAGGCCTGCCTTCCACTCACAAAGATTCTCCTGTTCAACTTTGCAGAATGCTAACATTGCAGGAGTGACCCACCATGCACTGGTCTTGTTCTCTTTGCAAGGAGATCATGGGCTGACTTGAATGAATCACACAGGAGCATTTGGAGACTCTTAGCTCCTTTACATCTTGGACACCCTGTTCTTTCACTGTTCTGATGCTGTGAGTTTTATGATGAAGTGCTTGAACCTTTACATGCTATTCTATTATCACGTGTAATATTAGTGTTTATAAGTATAAATCAAATATAAAATAACAGCATGGCTTGGTGGCACGCCCTTCTATTCCCAGCATAGAGACATAGTAGGGAAGAAGAAGGCCTTGAGTGGGTGAAGTCCTGAGTGAGTGTGTCCTGGTGACCTGGGCACCAGCCTGACAAGGACCAAGGCCTCAGACCCATGACAAATTGGCAAAGCCTTTCCCTATATGGGTCAGGCTCAGAATTGGCAAAGCCTTCTTCCTCTGGTACAAGTTTGGGTGTTTATGGATGGTGGATCAGTCTGGAAAGAAGTAGCAATTGCAGCTTCCTGGGTGTTTACAGCCTGAGACTGCTGCCTTCAGTCCTCCTGCAGAGACTAGCCAGCCCCTTCCCCTTTGCTGTCCATAACAGACATGCTGGGGGTTCAGGTTGAAGTGGAAGTAGCTGAGGATCCATCAGAGCACACGCAGACCACTGGATGCCAGCATTTCTGTACATGTGTCTGTGTGTCTGTCCTTTCTACATTCCCTCACTGACCCCTGTGAGGTCTTCAGAACTAAGTAAGATGTGCAATAGCAAGGCTAGAGCTTCAGAAGGACATGATGCACCTGTGTGACACTGTGAGATCTTGCTCAAACTAACTAATTAAGTAAAAATTAAATGAAGAGTTTAGCCATAGGTCAGCTGGTAGAGCAGCTGCTTCTCATCTAGAGGACACAATCTTTGCTCCCAGCTCAAGACTGCCAGGAACTCCAGTTCCAGAGGATGCAATGACCTGGACCCCATGGTTCCTCCTACACACATGGAATACAGGTATACATGCATGCAGATAAATAAAAAACAATTCTGTAAAAATAAAATAAGTAAAATAGATGACCCTGAGACATAGAAGATCACTTTCTATTTTCACCCAAAATGGGAATCATTGTTTAAAAATAGCAGTTTCTAGAGTGGAGCTATGACCATCATGTTCATACCGAGGGAAGAATATCAGATACCTATGGATGTCTCTGCCAATGACAAGTGTGTACTGATCCCAGGAATCTTCTCCTCCTGAGGATCTGCTCCCTCACACTACACTCACATACCCCCAACTGCAGAAACAGATGTAGGCTTCACAGAGCTTTGTCAGGCTTTATGGATGTCCAGTAGACCATGGCATCCGCAAGGAAGGTGGGCAGGTAGCTCATGGGGAGGTAGAAGAGCTTGGCATCCCAACCAGCTGAGTATCGAGTGCGAGGGTGACAGGAAGTCAGCGCGTGCTCCATGCAGTCTGTCACCAAGGAGAGGTCCTCACTGCACTTTTGGTCCAATGACTTTAGCATTGACAGATCTGTGCAGAATGAGAAGTGATTCAGCTGGTGTTGACCTGTACCTCTCCCGATCTAGACCAAGTTAGAGGAAAGTTTCTCTAGACCCCAGGATCCCACATCAGAAGCCATGGCCAAGCCTAGCCTGTCCCAGGTCCTCAGGGGGGCCACAACCCAGCTTCAAGGAAGAACCGGGCACACTGGGCATCTTTGTCTCAGCTCATGGAAAGTTGTAACTAGAGTTTTCCTGCCTGGCCCACAGTCAGGACAAATCTCTGTCACCCGCCAGTCCCATAGTCGCTCAGACCCAACCAAGTAAACACAGAGACTTATATTGGTTACAAACTGTATGGCCGTGGCAGGCTTCTTGCTAACTGCTCTTATAGCTTAAATTAATCCATTTCCATTAATCTATACCTTGCCACATGGCTTGTGCCTTACCGGCATCTTCGCATGCTGTTTGTCATCGTGGCGGCTGGCAGTGTCTCTCCGACTCAGCCTTCCACTTCCCAGCTCTATTCTCCTCCTTGTCCCGCCTATACTTCCTGCCTGGCCACGGGCCAATCAGTGATTTATTTATTGACCAATCAGCAACACATTTGACATACAGACCATCCCACAGCAGAAAGTGCTGTCTCACTCCTCCTCCTCCCGTCCCTGACCTCACTCACAGCTTCATGATGATGAGAGGCTCAGATGGAACAGAGCACCATCTTCTCAAAGTCAAGACTCTTTTTCTTGGGATACACACCCACCCCCAAAGAATTGGATATAAATGCTCTGTCTTTAAATAGAAAGATCCTGGGGTGACTACTAGCAGAATGAACAGGAGACTAAGGATTCAGGACTAGACTTGGCTTTGATCCGCTCAGCTCACTTACATGATGCCAGGAAGTTCTCGCCATAGATCTCTTTGACCTCTGAGCTGGCCTGGTCCCACACCATCTTTATATTTGATGATAGCTTGTCACTACTGGTTATATCAGTCTTGAAGAAACCGGGCTCTATAACAGCCACCTTCACCCCAAAATAGGAGAGCTCCCTCCTGCAAGACAGACAGACATCAAGAACTTCAGATGATTTTCTGTAAAAGAACTCACAATAAGAGTACAGTGACATGCCAACATGAGCCTGTGGTGAGGAGAGGTCGCAGTTGTGGATCTGGGTTGTGCAGCAACAGATGGGGATGAAGCTGTGGTGAGGGCATTGCCTCTGTGCTTTGGAATGTCACACTAAGTGTTTGGTGTGTGTAGCTCACTGGCCTAAAACTAGGCCTTCTATGACACCAATAAGACCTCTCTCCATGTACTGCAGATGCAAAGGGTCACCATCTTGCCCGAGTCACCTCCACCTCACTCCCAAGTCTCAGGCCACCCCACTGTCCCAGGAAGCACTCAGGACATCTCTCACTTTGTTCTTGCAGGTGTCTTCAGAGAGCAAGGCCCTGCCTGCCACTTCCTCACATTCACAGCCTCCCTGTTCCCTCCAGCAGGGATGTACCTGCCACAAATGGCTCCCCTGATTCAATCCACTGAAGTGTTGTATTGCCAACAGCATGATAAATACTGTCCACTGCCCTCAGGCTCTCCACAAGTCTACCTCAGCCCTCCTGCTGACCATCCTCCTTCCATATCTGGCCTGTCCTTTTCCCAAGGAGAATCCACCTACACATAGAGTTTCCAGATTTCCATCATCAACCTTTGCTCTGCTGCAGCCCAATCCTGCTACAGGACCCTGACAAACAGATGACAACCATGGTCAGCACAGCCAACGGGGCCATGGCCATCCAAGGGAAGGGCACAGTTCCTCTCCGTCCTCTCTCTCACTCTCTCGGTTGTAATGGTCTTTAGGTCCAGTGCAAAACATTTCTATTTGCTGGAATGTGTTGGTTTTGGACTCCTCAGGGGTCTGATACCTTTCTGTCCATTTGAATGAGATGTTCAGCCCAACTCGAAAACATCACGGAGCTAAGGGGCTGGATCCTTGACTCAAAGACCCAGTTCTATCACAGTAATGTCCCTCTGTGCCCTCCCTCCTCTGCGGCAGCACATGATGAACTGAACTCAGGGCTCAGTCCTGCCTGCCCTCTACTAGAGACGTGATAATGTGCCTCCAGATAAAGAACTCCAGGACAGAGAGGTAAAGAGCCCAAAAAGTAGAGTGTCCTCTCCATGATGGGTTCCTAATGGCTTTGATTAAATAAATCCCCTGCCAATGCTTCCCTCAGGTACCCACATCCCTGTGCAATACCTGAGGGAGTCCGAGAAGGCCTCTACACCATGCTTGGAGATGCAGTAACCACCACCAAAGAAAGACACTCGACCCACGATGCTGGAGACGTTGACCACACGGCCTCTTGCTTTCCTCACTAAGGGCAGCATGCTCAGGGTCACCTCGATCATGCCCAACAGGTTCACATCCAGTACCGTTGCAAAGTCCTTCTTGGTCAGCCACTCATTGGGACCCGAGGGGGTGGAGATGCCAGCGTTGTTGACCAGGCCCCAGAGTCCTGGGGACAGTGGAAATAGAGAGAGTCACACAGAACAGGTATAGTTATGGGTGAAATGCATATTCAACAAGGTAAGACCACTTAGACATGTGTGTACTGGACAGTAGATGCAATGAGGAACAGCATGGCATCACCAGGGCTGAGCACCCATCCCAGAGGTCTAGGCTCACAGCATGGACACCTCCCTCCTTTAAGTCTTCATGGCCCAGATCCCTGCCTGGGAAGAAACTTCTCACTTGCTAGCTTTAAGAATGGATGTTGAAGATATAATGTGCCTATGTTTACCTAGAGACCATGAAACTATGATTGTGTTTTACAAATTATTCCCATCCTTGAAGATGTTTTATTCTTTTACTTGTGGAGGTTTGGATAGGAATGTGACCCTCAGGCTCATAGATTTGAAAGCTTGGTTATTGAAGAAAAGCACTACATGAGAAGGATTAGGGGGTTTGGCCTTGTTGGAGTGGGTGTGGCCTCACTGGAGGAAGTGTGCCATTGGGGATAGGCCCTGGGGTTTCAAAAGCTCCAGCCAGACCAGAGTCTCACTCTTCCTGCTGTCTGGAAGGATACATGTAGAACTGATCTGGATGTTGAACTCCCAGCTCCTTCTCCTGCACCATGTCTGCCTGTGTGTCCCCAGGCTTCACACCATGCTGATAATGGACTAAACCTCTGTAACTAGAAGCAAGCACCAGTTAGATGCTTTCCTCTATAAGAACTGCCACGGTCGTGGTGTCCCTCCAAAGGAATAGAACACTGACCAAGACACACTGCTGCCTTTTTGTTCCAGTGGCAAAAGAAGACAGTTACAAGGAAGGATTAGTGAGAGAGGCAACAGGGCAAAGCACAAAGGAGAAAAGCAAGAAAAGACTAAATTAATGTCTGGGTGGAAGTAGTTGAGAAACAAATGGCTGTAGAATTGATTGAGCAAAGAGTTTGGAAAACAGTGCTCTGTTGATGGCTGTGATGAAGCCGGTCTTGCAGCTCTTCTCAGAGGCTTGCAAAACCCAGGGACAGGATGAAGGAGGTGACAATGCTTGCTGATCACCAACAGCACTGAGGCTCCACCCCCGACCTCAGAAAATGGCGCCCTTTCTTGCCCCTCATGTACAGGCTCCCCTTCCTCATCCTCTTTGGTCTTTAAGTCCTGGATCCCCAAGTACCCACTCAGGAAGGCTTACAATTAACGCCATATCCACACTGTCCATTTCTGTGCAAGGTGCATTGGAGAGTGGTTGATTGACATTAAGCATGGCATTTGTTCATTTCAAAAAATTGCTCAGTAAGTCATATGGATCCTTGGCTCAAAAGCATGTGTTGCCCCTCTGGAATTCCATATTCTAATATCAAGTTTTTTGTCTTGTTTTGTTTTGAGAAGCCACATGGAAATCTACTTCTATAGAAACTTCCTAAAATACATACATATGTGAAAGGAATTTAAATGGAGTCACCATAGGATGGGGAGATGATCTCTGACCTAGACATCTTATGCCACCAAATATAACCTCCAGTGCCAGTAATGGGTTACATCCCGTTGAGTCATTGGTCAAAAGGTCTCCATGGAGTCGCACTCCCAACCCCCATCACAGGCTATTGCCAAGGCTACTCATTGTTCTCCACAACCTCATAGTAAGGACATGTTGCTGAAGATGATAGTTATTTATGTCATCGAGCAGGGAGAGGTTGAGCAGGTGTCCAACTAACAGCTTCACCCCTACTGATAAACAATCAAGGTGCTAGAAGACCCTCTGTACACTCCCAGAGGAGAAAGGCAATCACCAGGATCACCCAGCTACAAACCCTGTGACCTACACCTGTGATCTGCCTGTAAGATCTACTGCGCAGTAGAGGCACAAATGACCTGGGAGTAACTAGCACTTTCTGATTAGATTGAAGGTCACTCTATGAGATGGAGCCCATACCTGACTCTGTGTAGGAGTCAGAAACGTCAGACCAGATAGGTCATGGGCCTTGGGAAAACCAAAGAATATTATTCTGCTCAAGGAATATACTGTAAAATGTCTCTTAATACATATCACTACACTCATGACCAGTACCTTGCACAACACTCATCAGAAAACATTGGTCTTGCAATAGATGAGAGTGAACACAGAGTCACACGAATGGACAATGTGCAGAGAGTGAGAGACTTTGGAACACTCAGTCCTAAAAGGAAATCTTCATCAAAGCCCTCCCCTCAAGGCTCAGGGGTCTTTGAAGATGAGGATATGGAAAGACTGAAGAGCCAGAGGTGATGGAAGACTCCAATTATCTGTCTTCTGGACTCAACAGGATGAGGCACACATGAACTCACAGGGGTTATGGCGGCACACGTAAGACCTGCTCGGGTTCCAGACGGTGACCCAGCACTGAGAAGGGGAAGTGGACACATGGTCTAATCTCTAACCAAGAAGCTATTTGTAAGTGATACCTGCTGGTAAAGGGAGTAACAGTTTTCTGCACTATAGTGACATTGGAGCTTCATGCCGGGTAGTTGGCTAACACAAAATGAACTCCATGTATTATTTTTTGGAAGTGGGAGAGGGGGTCATGATGTTTTGTTCTACAATTTTTTTTCTTCTTTGTTTTCTGTTCATTTGTTTTGACTTTCATTTTGGGTTTTTATTTTGTTTTTGTTTTAATTTTGATTAGGGAGAGAGACAGAACCTAATATGGACTTGGGTGAGTAGGAATGTAGGAGTATTGGGGAAAAGATGACATGATGAAGATATATTGTATGGAAAAAGTTTGGCCGGATGTGTGTGCAGTGACACTCACCTTCAATCCAGGCACTTAGGAGACTGCAGAGGCAGGTGGATCTCTGAGTCTGAGGACAGCCTGGTCTACAAATTGAGTTCTAGGATATTCATGGCTACACAGAGAAATCTAGTCTGCAAAGTTAAAAAAACATTATCACTCAAAGAAATGTTGAGGTGGTAAAAATTGTTCACCTTTTTTTAAGTGAAAAGAAAGCATTTATTTTAATGCATACAGATTAAAATGTTAATAGTTTTTTATCCACTGGGTGCTGAATTACAGCTTAATTGTTGTGGCTTTACATGTTCCACTGTTTTGAACAATCACCATGTTTTCAACTTATTCTTAGATTTCTTATAAACCAAGGTTGCTCTTCTGGCCCATTAGTTAACACTACCAGCTTGATGAAAGAAGAGTTACCCTTCCCGGTATCTTACATTCCCAAGTCAGTCCTTAAGCAGTCATGGCCTGCTCTGCACACAGGAACCATCTTGTCTCCCTCCATAGAGGATGGCAGGTGACAAGTAGATCCACTCCAGCACGGCCCCAGATACCCTGCACACACAGCCCAGGGCCGAGTCCATCCTCTCCTCCGGAAAGGGACCCTGCTCTAAGCTGGCACCCAGCATCCAGCAGTCTAAGTCTTCTGCATAGAAGAGATGACAGAGCACAGACAGGAAGGTGATGAGGTGAATCCTCCCCAGGGCACCTTCTTACCAAGACCAGAGAGCTTGGGAGACAGCAGATAAGGACTGGAGAGAAACATCAGGTGATGTTCAGGGGAAGGGCAGGAGGCTGCTGGTACTTCAAGTCCCCCAACCCCCTTCAGGAATCTTTCCAGGGAGTGAGAATGGGAGACCCCTTCACACAGAGACACAAACCAACAGACACACACAGGAGTCTCAGTGGTACCTCTGTTCCCAACACGCTCCTTCACCCACTGAGTGGCTGCCACAATACTCTCTGTCTTGGTGACATCGAGGGTCACCGTCTCCAGCCTGTCTGATGTCTTCCTCCTCAGCTCCTCAGCTCCATTTTCCGTCAGACATGCAGCCAGCACCCTCATGCCTCTCCTGTCCAGCTGTCTGGCCAGCAGGTTCCCAAAGCCGGAGTCACAGCCTGTGATGAAGACATGCTTGTCTTGGAGATGGCTCACCACCTTCCTCTCCCTGAACAAGCGCAGGAGGTTCCACAGACCCAGCAGAGCCACCAGGTAGAGCCACATGGCTTGGAAGAATAGGCTCATACACTCTGTGCTGAAGTGAGCCTGGACTCCATTCACAGAGGACAAGTAGACACGGAGGACTCAGGATCCATGAAGGAATTCAGGCTTCTAGCAGGGAGTCCACATGCCGTTCCCTGTCCTCTGCCTGTCTTAATATTTATTCGTGCCTCACTTCTATGATCTTCCACCTGTTTGCTCAGCTGATCTATAATGGACTTTAGTATTTCCCTACTTGCCATCATAGATTGCTGGCTTAATTTCCCAGCAAGCCTCACTCACAAACTCTAGAGCAGTGTATGGAGCTCTACATCTGGTTCCTGGCTCTAGAGTTGTGCCCAACTGACTCTCTGACTTCAGCTCAAAATAAAACAGGCACCTTCCACTAGAGACGAAACCATGTTTGCCTTACCCATTTCTTCCACCACTTACCGGCCTCGTTGCTCTCTTGTGTCAGCAAGTCCCTACAACACTAAACCTTTTTTTTTTTTCTGGGACAAGAAACCAGAGTCTGGGAAGAGCCATGCTTCCTGCTGGTCATCTCTAGGCACTTCAGTCTTAACACAGATGTTAACTTGGAATCTGCCACCATGCACTCCAAGGCGTCCCTGTGATGTCCATTCTCTCCATTGTAAGGGCGTACTCCCCTGTGCTCAGGCATTCTTCATCTTCCAAAGCTGGTAAAGATCTGAGCTACACATGATTATTCAAATCAGTTTCTAGCCCTCAAGGCTACAACATCCTTCTAAGTCAGGGACAGGAACCCACATCTGAAAGGATGTCCTTCTTCCTGTCAGCCATCAATGATCTAGAACTAAACTGGATATAGTAGCATGGGTCTGTAATTCTGGCACTTATCAGGCATAGGCAGGGTGATTGCAAGTTTGAGACCGGCCTAAGCTACCTGGCGAGACCTCATTTCAGTAGAGTCAAGACAGCAAAGCAGGGAAGTGAGGCCTTTTCCTCATGGCGCCCACACATTATGACCCTACTGCTCAGATCTACTGGGCTAGATCTGGCCTCTTTCCTAAAAGGGCTCCAGGAGGGGCCCACACCTCTGGAACATCTTCCCTTGAAGCTCCAAATAGCTCAATAACAAATGCCTTTCTCGGAGAAAAATGGAAGCTTTTTTTGTAGGAACTCCATCTCAGACCTAGCATGGCTTCATTTCCCCGAAGGAACAAGATGGTGTTCTGAGTGGGCCAAACAGTAAAGCTTTGGTGGGCTTAGAGACCCCCCCAGGACAAGATCTGACAACCATTCTGTGTTTAAAGCTGCCCACACCCAACATCCAGCATAGGTGAATAGATAATAAATAAAGTTGAGACAGATGACTTTCCACTTCTACCTTGTCTGACGATATGGGATTCCCTAATGCCTTCATTTTCTTCATCTTTATAATGAGTAAGAATCCAGATGACCTCAGCAAGTCCCCCCAGCTCTAACTTTTTGGGGAGTCTAAGATTCTACCTCCTTTGCAAAATGGCAGAAACAAAAATTGAAGGCCACAGGAAACCCTGGAGAAGCCAGAGAAAGTTCTGTAAGCTGGAACCGAAAAGCTCTGGAGTCGGCGGCGAGAGGTTGTCACCACATCCACAGAGCAGCTGGGGCAGGGGGGCATGGGAAAGGAAGAGGGTGCAAAGGGAGCATGCTGGGAGAGCTCTGGGCGGTGTCATGGTTGGGGAGCCGGGGCTGGTATCTGGTGCCCTGTGGGCCTCTTATCTTTCTAAGTTTCCTCTTCCTTTGCTGGAGTTGCACCTCCCCATTTCCTGCTCAGGAAGGCAGAGAGAGTTAGTAAACCGCTGTCCTTAACCTTGTGGAAGGGTGCAATGGCCATTCCCCCTCCCCGGCCCCTTTCCAGACCACCTCAAACCCACAGGTGGCCTGAGGAGACTTCCCAGGATTCCCAGTGCTGAGTCACCTCCAGAGGTAGGTGTCCAGCTCTATCTTTTCATCCTAGCTGGTGTCCATGAACAGTCATAACATCTGGACATCTTGGACCCCTTTGAGAATCTAAGAAAGTCCTGATTTAAAAAAAAAAAAAAAAAAAAAAAAGTCCACAGCAGACAAAATGTGTGTGTGCAGGGGTCATGTCTGAAGCCATTGTGTTACCAGACAGGCTTACTGAACCGCTGACCACGTGACCTGGGCAGGTTAACCTCTCTGTATATTGTCTCATCACCTACGATAATGTTCATTTTGCAAATTATGAGATTTTTCTTGAGCTAATGTCCTTTACAGCTGTGTCCAAAAAATTCAGTTCCTGTCAGCTGCTACTGTCGCATCTAATCTCTGGAGACTCACAGTGGCCTTCGGGGATGTTTCCATACTTCTGAGAAATGCAACTCAGACAACAAATTAGAAGAGGAGGTTGGTATTGACCCAATTTAGAGGAAAATGGCTGGTGAGTGAAGAGACCAGAGAGGAAGGCTTCCAGGCTCCTGCCAACTTACGTTTACTGTCTACCGTGCTTCTGTGGCGGAAGTATTGCTGTCCTACCAAACAGAAAACAAACACACACATAGAAAAGCGGAGACTGGAAGCCGGAGTGACTTGTCCATCTACACAGCTACTCAGTAGAATCAACGAAATCGGGTTTGGTGGTGTTGCTGTGTTGTGAATGAGCCCAAAGAGCCAAGTATATGGGGGTAGGGCCCATTCTTTGGGGAGTCTGAGGGCAAAGTAGCTCTTGAGGCCACACTTGGCCTCTCGCTCAGTAAACTTCTAGAAGCTGACGCTGGGTAGTTGCCAGTCTTCAGCCCTGACCTTTCCATTACCTACCTGCCCCTACCACACAGGCCAGGCAAGTCAGGCAGGATCCTGGGACTGCGTGTCTCAGCCTTTCTTCAGGGTCAAAACATAAGCCCTTTGCCCAGGCCAACTCTGAGAAGCTGCCAGACTTTATCTCTGCTTCTCAATATCTCTTCCCTCCTACCTTCCTTCCTCTGTAATGTTGATTATAAGGTCTTCTCTATACTTTGGGACGGGGAAAAAAAAAAAGTGTAGTTAGACAGGGAGGGAGAAAGTGAATTTCCAGGAATTGTTTCAAGGTGGCTGCTCTTGCTGCCTAAGGCAAAACTGTATGCCTCAGGATGGCAGGGAGCCTACACACATTCACACACACACACACACACACACACACACACACACACACACGGAAGGGGAAACTATCTAAACTGAAAGCTGCAGAATTTGCACTAATTCCTTCCTTAAGGCGTAGCTGTCCCTCTGAGAGTCTGTCCGAAGGTGCCACCAGGACTCCCTCTTGCTGCAAATGGGGAGTACAAAGAGGAAGGAGGGCCAGCACACAGAGAGGCAAGGCTGCTTAGCGGGAGATGTCCCCTCCTGTGAGGGCAGACTCAGAGAGCCCAGAGGACACCAAGGCATGGCCCTGGTATTCGGTGTATGAATGTGGAGAGGCCAGAGAAAGGCCTTCCTTGGAAGGAAGTGTGGTCCAGCAGAGGCTCCCCCTGTGCGGCTTAAAGGCATAGAGGAATGAGGGCTGGGCATGGTGGTCCACAGTTATGGTCCCAGCACTGACGAGGCAGAGGCTAGAGAATCAACAGTTCAAGGCCAACCTGTGCTACATACTGAATTCCAGACCAGCCTAAGCTATGAGGAAACTTTGCCCCCCAAAAAATGAAGGAAAAAGATGGCAGGGGAAGGGCAGGATAGCCTTGTGGGTAGAGAAGACAGAAGTGCCCAGGGAGAGCAGAGACAGGAGAATTCCAGTGGTTCACTGATCAGCTGACAGGGGAGCTACAAATCCAATGAGTGACACCATCAAAAAAAAATAATGATAATAATAAGGTGCAGGTGAAGTTGGAGAGTTCGCTGCCCTTCCCACGGTCCTGAGTTCGGTTGGACGCATTCATGTCGAGTGGCTCACAACCACATGTAACTCCAGCTCCTCCAGGGGGTCCAACACCCTCTCCTGGCCTTCAAGGACACTCACAAACATGTTGCTCATACATGTACGGACAAACACGTAAAAAAATAAATCATTTAAAATATATAAATAAATAAAGTGGAGAGCAACAGAGAAAAACAGGTAACGTTGGCCTCTGGCTACCACAGGCACACACCTGCGTGTATATACACACACACACAAATAATAATAATAACAAAAACTTTCTGAAGATTTTTAAATGATCAAGAGCCCTCAAGGGGGAGGGAGAAGGAAGTTACAGAGCTACAGCGTCCTCTGGTACGGAGACGGACAGGACAGTGGTGTGGCCGCACTGAACTGTACCCTTTAAAATGATTTAGGTGATAGATGTTTTATCTGGATTCACCACAAGGAAAGACTAATTAGCAAATTTTAAAAATCCCCTTTCTCGGGCGAATAAATACAATGTGGGTGGCATGTACATACAATGGAACATTTACACAGCCATGAAAGGTCCTAAGTGTCAACACATATTCCAGTGTGAACCAGCTCTGGAAACACAAAGCCCCACAGGCGGAGAGCAGATTGGCCGTGGGCAGCTGCCTCCATCACAGCTAAGATCACAGCCTCCCACTGGCCTCAGGATCCGTGGACAGAAGAAATTCATCCCACGTGTATGGAAAGTGTCACAAGGACAGTGTGGATTACCCAAGCAGCATGTCCTTATCAAGGACACTGGGAAGAGAGCAAGGCTGAGAGGCAGAGGAAGCCATTCACTGCTGCGGGGGGCATCCCCCACTACCACCACCCCAATCCGTTCCGTACTGTAGCAAGGAGACCCGGCTCAGCACTGGCAGGGTTCTTGCTGAGGGCAGGGTGCCCGCGGGTACTGTCTGTGCTGCCGGAAGGAGAACGTGGTGAGTGGTGGTAGCTAGACTGAGTCTCCAGAATGACAAATGCCACTGTCGACCGGCAACCACGATGATGGGTAACAAGCTGCCCTCAGCTCGGTAAAGGTAATTTCCTCTGCCAAAAAAAAAAAAAAGAGTAGTGGTTGGTGAGGAACCCTGGGGTAACTGAACTGTTAAACCCATCCTAAAAACCAGCCATACTT